TCGATATTCCACATTTATTGTTAGAAAAAATAGCCAAGATTCAAGACATCTAAAATATTGTGATATTTTAATTTCATTATAAAATCTCATGTCCGGCTTTTGATTAAAAATAATTGTTAGTTAATAATTATTATAGGTTACTTACATAGAAACACGATAACAATACACAAGTTATTGTGAGAGTTATCTCATTGTTAGTTGAATTTTGAATATATTGTTACGGTGTTAGTCAATGGTAATATTTGTTGGCAAAGAGACTTGAGGAAATCTATTAAACATATCGCAACAAAAAAAAAAAAAAAACCCATTATTTATTATACAGTTCCATGACGGATGTGTATTTGGTGTCAGTGTATCGTAGGGGACATCGAAATGTCGTTCTACACTTGGAAACTTTCTTTACTTTTTCACCCTAATATGAAAATAAAATATTAAAAAAAAAGTAAAACGGGGGAACAGTGAATTTTAAATAAGTTATATTGATCGTAAAATATTATGATTTATTGAATGCGTGCAGAAGAAGAACGATTAGACGACCGTCAAACTAAAACACATTAACAACAATGCTTTTTATATGAGGGTCTAACTCTGACTTATAAATTTATCAGTTTGGGGTAAAAATAAAAAACATGATTTAGCTATTGGTGTTTTATAATGATACTCTTTTTTAGTTATTTCTGTTGTACATTTTGTCGGATAGAGAAACTTTTCTGGAACGTCATTCAAACGGCTTGCTGACCTATCTTCTTCGTTTTGACAAAAATTACTTTTGATTTGTTAATTTTTCAGAAAGTTTAATGTTATAAAAATATGTTAAATATTTCATTGTTGGAATCGAATATAAATATTAGGAAGACGTAAATGATTTTTTGAGTCTTAAAGTCTATTACCTAAGTTAAAAAAAAAAAAAACTAATCGAAATGAGTAGACTAGTGAATTTTGATTATCATTAAATAATTAATCATTGCGATAGTGTTGTCATTGTGTATTATTGTGTAAATATTAACACAATACACATGTGTATAATAATTGTAATATGTAAGCACCTATGTATCATGTAAATGTATTATGTATAATGTATCCAATATACTATATCAAAAAGTAACCACTCTTTTTGACAAAGGGAATTCGGTGGCTGCCACGAAATCAGCGGCTGGCAAATTGGAATCCACCCTTTTTAAGCACGAATGAAATCGAAGAAAAAGATTAACCGAAAAATCGTACAAATCTGTGATTTATTTTTACGACCCAATATTCGAGTCGGTGCACCCTACACCTACACAACACATACGCGATTAGTTCCAGAAGGGGTTGACGTTGTGCGTTCGTATGCTATATACAATGTTAATTTACAAAACAATATATACGCCAAAACAAATACCGCTTTGTCATTATGACGATGACAATGGATAAAAATGTTATTAGGACTACATTTTGTTCATCCTATCGGTTATTAAAAGAAAATTCACCTTTTGTAGAACTTCGTACCACCTCCGTATAGCAACTTAAAATACTTAAGATAATAGTATGACGTCTACTAATACTGCAATTATTTATTCGATATAAATTTAGAGTCCATTTGCATTCGACTTGAAAATGAAAATGAAATCATCAGTAGGTTATACCACCTTTGTACAAACATTTTTATTTTTTATAAAAATATATGTATTAATCTTATATGTTGTTTAAAATTATTATTCTCAATATTACGTTAATATATAACATTAATATATATTAATATATGTTTGAACTTTGAATTAATAATCACAGAGATAATATTACAAAATGTCAAAGTATATTATAATAATAGTATATAATCGCATTCTAATAAAACTAAATGAGAATCAAAATTATATTATAGGAAAAGTTTGTCTACAAAACGAAAAAAAAATGAATAAATTATTAATCAAATAACATTGAATCAGTTTGGACAACGGTAATAATGTAATTCTATTTTAAACCATCAGATTTTAGATGTCCCAATAAAGAAACGAAGAAGTTTCTTTACCATTCACTATTATTATTTCTATAGATAAATCACGTAAATCCAAATTCATTGCAAGCTTAGTAAACTTATGCAATTTATACACTTTTAGAATATAGTTTAATAAATCTGAATGGCATGTACTAAGTGGCGTAGCTAAAAGGCGAAATTCCGAGAAATTTTAAAAATGCTTTTAGTGTTCTGTGAACGTATTATGGATGTAAGACGTAACCATGCATTATAATAAATTGTAATTATTAGTATGAAGGTTGTTGAAAATGTTTGTGCAGTCAGCACACCAAACTTGTGAAGGATCTAATTTGATGACGAAAATATTGTATAAATAAAATATTAAAGAAATAGAGATTATATTTTATTTTGACTATAAATTGTATATATTTTATAATAATATGCTTAATGTTTATAAAATGATTCGTCTTTATATATAATTATTGTTGGTGCATGCCACGATAAAACGATAGGCATGCCTAAAATAGTGTAATACAGCAATTACAATTGGTTGAATAAAAATCTCCGTTATAACTTGTAAGTGAATAAAATATCTGAACGAAAATAATATTATTTTAATCCAAAATACCAAAACGAAAAAATATGAATTATTAATATTTATGCATGACGCTTTACAGATAAGCTAAGATTGAGAGGGAAAATGTAAATGTCCATGTACGGTCGTACGGAGCGTAGTATAAAATATTCGAAGGGTGCCTTTTTCACTTGACATATTTACGACAAAACAGAGTGTTCCAAACACAATAATACTATTTATTTTATTTGTAGTTTTAAACCCAGACGATCTCGTACCAACTCGAACAGAAAGAAATATACCTACCCGTCGAATAATAATATAAATGTGCATTATAATATTTACTTTTTATTGGGAAATATTATAGGTGTCCCGCTGATAGGGGTCCGAAGAAGAAGACATCCAAGCATGTATGTATGCATATTTTACTTTTCCACATTGTTACAGAGAAAAAAAATGACCATTCGGGTTGAGTCCCTTGGTCAGAGAAAAAGTTTCTACATATACGTGTGTATGTATTTTTTGTTTTTTTTTTGCTCTTCTGCTCGGTGAACCGTCAAAATACGTATAAATCTGAGAATAAAAAAACTTTGGTTCACAATGGAAAACTCTTCGACAAAGAAGAGTTGAAACAGAGGCGCCGCCTTATGGAAAATTCAATGTGCGCAGCACACATTTGTCGGATTTTTGTGTTTTCTTAGAAAATGTAATATTAGACGATGTGATACACAATTATTTTAAAACAATAAACTAAAAAATCCAACATAAAATGTTGATAACAATACGTTTAAAAAAAATATATATTTATATATATTATAATGAAAATGAAATATAATATAGTTCCTTAAGTTTGCGATAACAAAGGAAACTTTTGGCTTTAACAAAAAAAAATAAAATAAATTTGTATTATGATTTATGAATTAGACAACTGTTGTAGACAATAATTATAGTTTATACTAAGTGATAATCGAAATGGTGGTAAGCTTACTGGATCATTTGAAACTGTAGGTATTGCAACGTCCCCTATATCTATTGCCCCTAGGTCCATCGGCCCACTAGCAAAGCAATCTATATGCCTTGCTAAAAGTGTGTGTAATTTTCCCCTTTGTTCTATTGATAGATCGGGATTTATATTGAATTTTATGGTTCCTATCATTCCAATATCATTTATACCCATTTTAAGCAGATGTGCTACACTATTAACTACCTTTTCAGCTCTCGATTTATTAATAATTACATTC